CCTACGGGCTCGTCAAAATACGGCACAACCGTACAAATACTCAGCGATACTACACAACAAAACGTCTAATAAGATACATGTATTCGCGTTCGGACCCGGTCCAAAATTCCATTGACGAATCAACTACTGAATCAGTTACTAGCTCTTTGCATATCTCGAAAACGTCGTTTACGTTTCTTTCCTTGTAAGTTTTCTACAGCTTAAACCAAAAATTGAAAAAACAGGAGTTTCCAGCCGAGATTTCTGTCACCTTCGACCACAGACATTTTTCTCAGCAAAAGAAATAAAAAGTCGAAAATACACAAAACAAAACTCCGTAAGCTTTAGGTTCAACAGGTTGTCGTCTCTTCACCAGCTACCTGTTGATGACGCAGACGCCTACGTTTGATTCATTTGTTTTCTTACCACTTTTGACACGCAGCTGCCTCATACGGGCCACGCCGACCACAAATGACATCTTGTCATTTAAAAAGCCTGCCCGTCCAGACTTGCCGTTGTACCAGCCATTGTTATAGAGACCTGGGACGAGTGTCTGTTCGACCCATTCCCAGAAGTCGTTCACATTGGAGACCTATAAAGTGTAGTTAGACAAAATGAGAATTGTTGTAAACTGTTTTTATCCTGTTAAAAAACCTTATGAATGCACGTTACTCTGCCCATGGGAAGATTTGCGACGAGTCGGGGAGAGTTTTGCCGGGGGTCTGGAAAAGACAGTGTCCTCGCAGGCCTTCATTATTGGTGCAAGACACATTGGCAGACCTCACGCCAGCTCGCCTTATGCTTTCACGCGGGTGAAGAAACGCTCTTTCCGAGGCACTAACAAATGGACCCGGGCCTGCTCACAGGCTATATAAGTAAAAGTTCCTAGCAAGGTACGGGTTTCAATCTGTCGTGGTATAAGATGTTAGGGAGGGTAAGCAGAGCGTTCTCGTTAAGAGGCGAGAATTATTTTCTTCCCTTTTTCTTTCTGCCCTTTGTGCCCCAAAACGAAGACTTTCGCGCAAGTTCTGAACACGAAATGTTTTGAATATTTTTTCTCTACAGTTTTGATTGAAAGATCAGAAGAAAGAAAGATAAAATCAGAGTTAATATTATCCGTTTGGCATTCTCGTAAAGGTCATTCTGTTAATCGCTGTATTTTT